GGATTATCACGATCATCATCCACAATTTCCTGTATTTCTTGCGCATGTGTTAATTCATGCCTCGAATATGTTCATGCTCACTTCATCTTTTGAATCTATGTTATCTTTTCTTGTTATTCCAGATTCTTTCCTTCAATTCTTTGCCTATTTAAGTTGTTTTTACATAGCTTGAGGCTTGGGATTTGCTAGATCACTACTTACTGTATGAAAATCGAAGCTGATTGTACCTGAAACCTTCATTAGATTTCCCAGATCCCTGTTTTAGTGTCCTCTAGGGTTACGCCGAGGTCCCTCTATCATTAGGAAAACACTCTCGTATTGAAAACCATATAAAACCCTCTTAGCAGAGATCATGGGTATGTTCAAGTGGAGGGTAGACTCTCCTAGTAAACTTGAGTATTTCCGCCAAGAATTCAACATCCCAGTCGATGTCCACCTTAGGCTTGCTGGAGAGAATGAGTCTATTATGACTGGGGAGAATTACATGTTTGAGGCGAATGACATACCCTTCCCCGTGGTATCAATTATTGAGGGCGGAATCAGATTCCCCCTTGACATCCTTTTCCGAGAAGTGCTGCACTTCTATATACTTAACCCCATGCAATGGGCCATTAACACTTTTAAGGCTATCAATGGTATAGCCGAGCTATGCTATCGTCACAACGCTAGGATCACCCTTGCCGACATCCAGTATTGTTACACCATGTGTAGTCTCAAGTCCACCAGTGGCTACACTTACTACCTCAAACCCCGGTCTACAACATACAAATTGATAGCCGATCTTCCAAACTCCAACAAGGGTGCTAGAAAAGACTATCTCATTATCTCAGGCAACAGGGAGTTTGTGCCAGATGATGATCTCCACCTCTTCCCCTTGCGCTGAGGAGTTTTTAGGGAAGATAAGGGTAAGAACTTAGCTGCCTGAAACCATGCATTTTTAACATCACATTTGCATACTTCATTATTTTATGATTCTCCTTTTACTTATTTTGTTAGTGCTTCCTCAGCCGAGCAAATCATTTTGGAAGTCATACGTCCAGAGCCCTGATCTAACACGACTTCTGGACTTACCTGTCTAGGACCGTAAGGCCTCCATCCTTCTCAACTACGTCCCAACATATCGGTCCTCTCTACCCGACATCCCTGCCAGGAGCAGAACTCCACCATCTGCAATAACTCTACATGTTGCATCCTCTTTCCACACATACCAAGCTTCTACATTTGATCCAGTAACCGGCCATCAACATCGACTCCATCACAACACACGCCATCATCGACCTATAAACGCACCTGCTAAGAGGACGTGCAGTAAGAAACACCGAGGTGCAGACGCTTCGGCCTACGATCTTGTCAACCCCCCCAATTGCACTTCTTGCATTCAGACTTGATACCAGAGTGACTGTCACCACCTCTGTCGAGATGGGTTGTAAACCTGCCGTAGCCGAGGATCTTCTTACCAGTCTGTTCGACATTGTAACTATGCAGTCCCACCTTTCTCCTTAATCCATCCAGAAGCCCAAGAGGGTGAAAAAGGCCAAGGCTAAGGCCAAGGTCACTGTTGTTCCCTTTGACGAAGAAAGGAACGCAAAGGATTCAGTGCCAATTTTCAAATTAGCTAAGGCCCAAAAGCAACCATCGCCGGGTGGCTCTGTGATGCCCCAAAATCTACACTAAGGGTTATAGTTAAGGGAAAGTCACTAATGAGTCCTATAGCCAATGACCAAGTAAGATCCCAGATCACCGGAGGAGTCAAATTAGTCTGCCTTCTAAGTTTAACCAAGCATGTGATAAGAAGAGAATAGTTACAAATATTTTTAGTTACAAAAGTTAGTTCCATCAATATTACATCCAAAAAAAAAAAAAAAATTCAGATGGACTATACAAAAAAATTCTAACTTCCCTAAGACAACCAAAAGTATTCGAAGGTTTCTGGCTTGTCATTTTCTACTACAAAATCCTCTTCGGTACGTGGCATGAAATGCCATGAGCTTTGAATGTCTAGTAAACACACACACACCTTGTCCTTTTTTCCTAATCTAATACACGATATCAATTACAACAATTGGGGAAAGGAACATGACATTCAAGTAAATAACAAAGGTTACAAGGTTAGTTGTTAGTAGTGTAGAAATCTCCTAAAAAGATTTCATCCTCCCAACCCCAAGAATCGGAAACGGATTATTCGGTATGCCCCCTCTTTTGTTGCTTTGCAAATCTTACCCCAGATGCCTACCAACGGTTACATACCGCATTGCGCCAACCGAGGTCCTCAAAAGAGATAGTAAAATAGGGCCTTGCCCATTCCCTCCTCACACCAAACCACCTAGGGTCCGAATACAATCGCTCCGTTCAAGGGTTCTGGACAACTACTTACACAAGACTTTAACTTTCTAAAAGGGAACACATCCCGCTAATCAATTCAATTTGAACATAACTTTATCTCATAACAATGCTCATGTGATCGAAACCCCATTATCCACCCCATTAAGTTTTCTGTTTAGATTAACGGTTAAGTTAGTTAGTACAAGCAAGTAATAAAAGAATAAATTTGCATAATGTGAGCATCATCGAAAAAATAAAATAAAAGATATTTAGCTATGACCTATGTAATATCATACCAAGACATGATCATATATTAATAAGAATATTCATGAACACAAGAGCATAAAATATTAATGCAAAACAAATTTTCTAGATTCAGTACCACTTAAAGGTTAAAATTAAAAGGATCATTTCAGATTTTTTCCGAACCTAGACTTCCTATGGTTTTTAGAGAATTTTATCTAGTTTTCAGAACATGTTTCAGAAGTGGAATAGCTTTTCTATATTTTTAGCTATTTAAGAAATACTCCAATGCTACCCAGATTCATCGACCGTTACGAAAATCGGGTTTTCTAACAAACAACTTACTCTTTTTCAATGACACAAACTTTCCTTAAAAGTTAACTCTTTAAGGAAGTTTTTGACATAAAATCATGGTCCATAATATTTTTCTACATTTTTCTAGAATTTTTGAAACTTGGCTGTAAAACAGGTTTTTCATGCACAATACTCAAAATAAGAAACTTGGTGAGACAAGAGGCCAACTAAGGGAAAATTTTCACTTCTTTTTTGAAGAAAACATACTAAATAATGTGTCAATAACTCATACTTTTAGAGTGATAGTATGCCTTTGGAAATAATGTGAGATATGAGAAGAAAAATATAGTTTTGCATCTATTAAGAGGAAGTATGAATAAAAGAAGGATCGAAGCCCAATTCATCAACTTTGAACGCATGAACACCATTAAAAAACATCTAAAAATATGATTTTAAATCTATGATAATATGTATTTGAAAAAGGAAATAGAAGGAGAGATGGTAATGTGGCTTACTTGAGGGTTGGTTGGTTTGCTAAAAAGACTTTCCCTTTCTCTCATTTCCTCAAACAAGCTCACTCTTTTGCCCTCTCTTTCTCTCAGCTGAACAGGGTGTTTGTGTGTTTGTGTTCTTGTGTGTAAAATGTTAAGGGAGAGGTGGTATTTATAATAAAATTGGTATAGGAAGTCCAAATTGCCCATTCGTTGGAAATGGATGGGATATTTTTGGATTTAGTTTGAATTCAATGGAATAGTGGATGAATAGATGCCTTAATTGAGTACCTAAGCATGATCTTGTTAGGGCTTTATCTTAATCAACTATCCTAGTTACAAGTACAATGCATATATATATATATATAAAGTTTGCACCTAGGTCAAATGTCTTCCTTAATTCATGCAAGTTTGTTTAAAAAAGTACACCTATTGCATCTACATATCTATGGCTAGCCACATGATGATTATTTTATTTTTTTTAGTGTACAATTGTTGGAAATTTTAAAATATAGTGTATAAAATTGGTTTAAAGGTACAAGTGTGTGTATATATATATAATAGTACTAATTTGAGGTCAATTTGTAATTTAATAAAATGTGAGAGCTTTGGGTTTAATTTATGAATTGAAGCATTTATTTAAGTATAGCATTAAACTAAATCAGGGTTAGAGAATCTAATTTGGTCTAGATTTCTTGTTTCGAATAAAAAGGCTATCAACCGAAAAACCTGATGAAAATTGAAAAAAATCTAGGGTTTTCAAGTGGAAATTCCATATTTAGGGAGTCAATTAATCAGTATTAGATATTAGAAATGATTTCACAGTTACCGAAATCAATTAGGATTTGTGAGTTTTCAGTTGGCACATGTATTTTGATCCTAAGGTTAAAATACAATTAATTAAGAAATTGAGGGACTTTTAAGAAAATAAAATTTTGAGGGGCCTCACAACCTATCCCCCTTAAAACAATTTTGTCCTCGAAATTTAACTATACATCGCTTTCAAACAGTTGAGGGTAGTTTGCCTTCATCCAGTCTTTGCGTTTCCAAGTAGACTCTTCAATCCGTCGATGACGCCAAAGCACCTTCACTAAATGAACCATCTTGCCCCTAAGATTCTTCTCTAGACTATCTTGAATTGCTACAGGTCCTTCAAAGGTAACATCATTTTCGAGACTAATTCCTTCCCAGTTGATGACATGCGATGGATTGACGAGGTATTTTCATAACATAGATACATAAAAGACATTGTGTATCTTTGCTAAATGTGGGGGTAGAGCTTAATATACCATTTTGCCCACCTTTTCCAATATTTTGAATGGTCCGATATACCATGGTGATAGCTTCCTTTTCCTTCCCAAACATATGATTCCATGCCTAGGTTCCACCTTTAGGAACACATGGTCACCTACTTCGAACACCAGCATTCTTTTGACGGTCTTGAGCAGTCTTTAACCGTTGTTGGATCAGTTTGACTTTCTTAGTAGTCTTTAGGACAAGTTCAGGTTCTATTAGATTTGCTTCACCCACTTCAGTCGAACAAATAGGCAATCTACAAGGTCGCTCATATAATGCTTCAAAAGGAGCCATACCAATGTTGGCTTGAAAACTATTGTTATAGGAGAATTCAATTAAAGGTAGAGGTCGTTCCTAACTTCCTTGAAAATCCATTACAAAAGCTTTCAGCATATCTTCGAGTGTCTGGTTGGTACATTCAGATTGTCCATTTGTCTATAGATGAAAAGCAGTGCTAAAACATAAATCAATACCCAAAACTTCTTGCAGACTTCCCAAAAAATGAGAGGTGAATTGTAGATCGCGATCCGATACAATGGATACCGAAATTCTGTGTAGTTGAATGATTTCCCCAATATAGAGCTTGCACATGGACTCTAAAGTGTTAGTTATCTTATAGGATAAGAAATGTGTTGACTTAGTGAGGCGATCCACTATTACCTATATAGCATTACGTCCTTTGGGTGTCTTAGGCAACCCGGTCACAAAGTCCATTGTCACATGCTCTCATTTCTATTTAGCTATTGGCAGGGGCTGCAACGTTCCTCCTGGTTTCTGATGTTCTGCTTTCACTTGCTAGTATGTTAGATATCTTGTTACAAATTTAGCTACATCCTTCTTCATTTCGCTCCACCAATGCTATCTTTTCAAGTCTTGGTGCATTTTAGTCCGTTATGGATGTACCATAAATACAGAGTGATGACATTCCTTAAGTACTCTTTTTCTAAGCAACTAGTCATTTGGCATAAACAATCCACCTTGATATCTTAAACTCCTATTGGGGTGAATTACCTAATCGAGCATTGGTTCTTGTGATTCTAGATGTCCCTTAACATAGGCTACTTCTTGATCGTGCTTCTAGGCCTCCATGATCTCACCTATTAACTTAGGTATCACCTTCTGTGCACCAAGGTATATCTTCATGTCTTAAGTCTCTACCTGAATTCTAAGTTCATTGAGTATCTTAACCATATCCTATTCCTTTATGGCTAATTTAGCTATCATTTCCCTACTCTTGTGACTCAGCGTGTCTGCCACTACATTGGCTTTACTAGGATAATATGAAAAGTGAATTGGAAATCCTAAGATACTCCATCCATCATCTCTGTGTCAAGTTAAGATCCTTCTGTGTAAATAGATACTTCAAGCTCTTGTGATATATCAAAATCTCAAATTGTTCCCCACATACGTAATGTCGCCATTGCTTTAGAGCAAAAACTACGGCCGCCAATTCCAAGTCATGCGTTGGGCAGTTTCGCTCATGTGGTTTCAACTTGCTGGATCCATACATAACTACCTTTCCATTTTGCATGAGCACGTAACCTAACCCTTTCTTAGATGCATCGCAATACATAGTGTACGCCACTTCTTGTTCCGAGATGATCAAAATTGGCATACTTGTTAATCTTTTCTTTAGCTCTTGGAAAGATTTTTCGCAAGCTTCGTCCCATTCATATTTTACTCCTTTCTGCGTCAAATGAGTCATTGGTCTGGCTAGTTTGGAGAAATCTTGAATGAACCTTCGGTAATAACTAGCCAATCCCAAGAAACTGTTAATTTCTGACATAGTTTTCGGTTGTCTCCAATCTAAGACTGCCTCTACCTTGGTTGGATCCACCAGAATCCCATTCTTAGACACTACATGTCCTAAGAATTTCACTTCTTTTAACCAGAACTCACATTTGCTTGCCTTGGCATACAACTTATTATCTCTAAGAACTTGAAGAACAATCCTTAAATGTTTCTCATGCTCTTCCTCAGACCTTGAATATACTAAAATATCATCAATGAACACCACTACAAACTGGTCAAGATATGGTGTGAAGATCTTGTTCATCAGGCTCATAAATACTGCCGAAACGTTGGTTAGTCCGAAGGGCGTTACTACAAACTCGTAGTGATCATATCTGGTTCGAAAGTTAGTCTTTGGTATATCCTCATCCTTGACTTGTAGTTGATGTTAACCCTACCTGAGATCAATCTTTGAATAATACTTTGAGCCTCTAAGTTGATCAAAAAGATCATCAATCTTGGGCGCTGGTACTGATTTTTTTATAGTGGCCCGATTTAGTTGACAATAATCGATGCATAGTCTTAACGACCAATCCTTCTTTTTCGAAAACAGAATAGGCGCTCCCCATGATGAAGTACTTGGCCTAATAAATCCTTTTTTGAGCAGCTCCTGTAATTGTGTCTTTAATTCTCGTAGTTTTGCTAGTGCCATATGATATGTGGCCATAGATATTGGAGTCGTTCCAGGTTATAGCTCGATACTAAAGTCAACCTCCCGGGTTGGTGGCAATCCCGATCATTCCTCAAGAAATACATTTGTATATTCGTATACGACTCGTGGAAGTTCTAATTTTGCTTGGTCCTTCTCATTTAAAATCAAACTTGCTACCCTACCCGCAAGTTGATCGTGCCACCGTGTCTTACATTTTGTTGAAGTCAGGGAATCTTGTTTATCCCCCTTAAACTAGAAGCGTGTTCTATTAGGCGCATGAGCCACTATCTTCTTTTGACAGCAATTGATCATCGCTCGATGGGCAGACAACTAGTCCATGTCCAAAATGATATTGAAGCCTGACATCTCCATGACACAAAGGTCGCAAGTTAGGCATAGGACCGAAACTCCTATCTTATAATCCTTATAGATCAACCCTATCCGAACGCACCCTCTCATAGGTGATATTACACTTAAGGCAGTTTCTAAGGGTTCACATACAAGTTCTAATGACTTAACACAAGCAGAGGATATAAAAGAATGCGACGCACAAGTATCAAATAAAACATGCACCCAAGAATTATATAGTACTAAATTACCCTTAATTACGGATGAGTCCTCCTCCTCTTCTTGCAAGGCAAAAACTCTACCGGTTACCTTCTAGTTGCCACTAGTCCTAGCATTCTAAGTTCCTCCACTCTTCTGGTGTTGCTGCTCAATAGATCCCGTCTTGTTTAACCAGGGCTTCTGTCCACTTACTACCTGGGCATTTGCTTCGAAACCTCCTCCCTGGTATTCTAATGGAGGGAGTTGGGGGGCATTCACTCTTTTTGTGCCCCAACTATTGACAATGAAAGCACTGGATTTATCTTGTCGGTCTTGATTGAGAACCTCCCTTCTGGATCTGTTGTTACCATTGTTGTTGTGGTTGTGGCTTTGAGTAGGGCTTCGGGGTCGTATTTCCCTTCTGGTTCCTCTGGGGTCCTACAGATGTCTGACCCCTTTTCCGCTTGTTCCAAATTTTCCTAGCATCGGCTACTTCCCTTTCAGATTCTAATGTCGTCTCCAATACCTCAGCATATGAGTGAAGCCGTTACCGTAGAACTCTTTCCTTGGTTGTAGGATCCGGCCCCCATTCGAACATCTTTGCTTTATCTTCATCATTTGCCACATACCTAGTTGCATAGTGGGCAAGTTCTTCAAATTTTGCAACGTATTGGGTTACGTCATATTCCCCTGCTCCATGTTTTGGAATTCCCTGACTTGCTCTCGGTGAACTATACTTGGAAAATATTTATTCAGAAACAATTCCTTAAATTGGTTCCATGGCATGTTTGTAATGTCACGGGTATTCTTGATTAGTTCCCACCAATGATCAGCCTCATCATCTAGCTCGAATGCTGCCAAGGCTATGCTATCAGCATCTTCAGTTATCCTCATAGTGTCCAGCATTTTCTCTATCTGCCGAAGCCAACATTCAGCCACTCTCGGGGTTTGGTAGTCCTATGAACTTTAGGGACCTTTGTTTTCTGAACTCTGAAAAGAGTCAAGTCCTCTGATTTTGCCGATTGTTCCTTAACTGTCCTAGTTCTTCTAGAATTTGATGCCCATGATTGTTAGGGATATTGGCACCCGCGGGTACAGGCCCATGCTGATTTCTGGGATGGTTTTGGGCATTGCTGCTAGTCTCTAAGTAGTCATTAGCTCGTATATCCACCATTCTGGTCATGGTATGGGATAAGTTGGTTTTTAGATTTCTAGTTAGAGGTAATCTTTCTACTAGACTTGAAATTAAGGTTTATTTCTCTTAGGGTGTGGCAAAATATTAAAGCAAGTAACAGTCAACAGATATAGATCAAATCGTCATTTCATATATTTATAGTAGGCATTCGTACAAAAGGCTTCTAGATCAAAGTTTCATTTAAAAGGCACTACACACGACATAGTCACAAAGTTACTACATATATCTTAAGGATCCTTACTATAGGGGATCTGATAAAAGCCTAGTTTACTACTCTTAAATTAACTCTCATTCTCAGATCAGTCAAAATCTTCTTCAGGATCCTCATCTGCCAAGTCGGTTGCCTGGCCAGGAGAGCGGGGTGTATATATCAGTGAAGGGGGAACGTGCTCAAATGACACTTCAATTGGAAATGCGAGGGTTATTACCGGTTGTTGCTTCACCTTGATTGGTTGACTGTTGCCCTGCCCAAGGTAGTGAGATTCGTCACTCTCAACTTGCACCGGGTGTTGGTGTGGTGTTTCGTCTGTCAAGGCTCAACGTATCACAATGTCCATATTCCAGTCATCCTGCTCCTTACGAACTGCGCTCTTTGCTGTGTGACTCAAGTAATGCAGGCGGTGCCGAACTATGGGTCTCTTTTGCTCCTTCGTATAGTAAGGGTAGTCCATGTCCACTTTTCGTATCTCCCTGGTGATCATCTTTTCAGTGGCGAATTCACTTCGTCGGCGACTAAAGCAAGTATTAACAAATAGGGCCCTCCTACCTTGCATACGAAAGGCTCCCTATGTGTCGAGGCTAATGTCGGTTATTTGATAGCTTTCCGATGACATCCTATGGTGGAGGGAAAATTTTTAATTGTTAGTCTCTTTTAAATAAATATAATATTGTGATAGTAAAATACTCTACTGTGCAGGGGCAAGGGATTCTAGAGTTGCGTATTGGGTTGCACAGGCTAAGGGTTGAACCTAGGTTCTGATATCAAGTTGTGACGCCCCAAAATCTACACTAAGGGTTATAGTCAAGAGAAAGTCACTAGTGTGTCCTATGGCCAATGACCAAGTAAGATCTTAGATCGTCGGATGAGTCAAATTAGCCTCCTTTCTAAGTCTATCTTTCTTAGGCAACGCACTACCCTTTTCACAGATCTTAAAAGGCATTGATGCAAGGTCCCATAAGTAACGTAGGGAACTATATTGGTTTAAAAAAAAAAACATATAATAAGAAGAGAATAGTTACAAATATCCTTAGTTACAAAAGTTAGTTCCATCAATATTACATCCCAAAAAAAAAAAAAAAAATTCAGATGGACTATACAAAAAAATTCTAACTTCTCTAAGATAACCAAACGTCTTCGAAGGTTTCCAGCTCATCGTTTTCTGCTGCAAAATCCTCTTCAGTACCTGTCATGAAATGCCATGAGCTTTGAACTCCCAATAAACACACACATACCTTGTCCATTTTTCCCAATCTAATACACGATAGTAATTACAACAATAGGGGAAAGGAACATGACATTCAAGTAAATAACAATGGTTACAAGGTTAGTTGTTAGTAGTCTAGAAATCCCCTAAAGAGATGTCATCCTCCTAATCCCAAGAATCAGATGCAAGTTATTCAGTATGCCCCATCTTTTGCTACTTTGTAGACCTTACCCCGGATTCCTAGGAATGGTTACAAACTGCGTAGCGCCAACCGAGGACCTCAAAAGAGATGGTAAAATACGGCCTTGCCTGTTCCCTTCTCACACCAAACAACCTAGGGTCCGAATACAACCGTTCTGTTCAAGGGTTCTGAACAACCACTTGCGCAAGACTTTAACTTTCCAAAAGGCGACACGTCCCGCTAACTTTCCAAAAGGCAACACATCCCGCTAATCAATTCAATTTGAACATAATTTTATCTCATAACAATACTCATGTGATTGAAACCCTATTAGCCACTCCATTAAGTTTTTCGTTTAGATTAACGTTTAAGTTAGTTAGTACAAGCAAGTAACAAAAGAATAAATTTGCACAAGGTAAGCATCATCGAAAGACGAAAAAGGTATATAACCATGAAATATGTAATATCACACCAAGATCATATATTAATAAGCATATTCATGAACACATGAGCATAAAACACCAATGCAAAACAAATTTTTCAGATTCAGTACCACTTAAAGGTTAAAATTAAAAGGATCATTTCAGATTTTTCCCAAACTTGGCCGTCATATGGTTTGTAGAGAATGTTATCTAGTTTTCAAAACATGTTTCATAAGTGAAATAACTATTCTGTATTTTTAGTTATTTAAGAAATACTCTAGCGCTGCCCAAATTCGTCGACCGTTACGAAAATCATGTTTTCGTACAAACCGCTCACTATTCTTCAATGAAACCAAATTTCGTTCAAATTTAACACTTTAAGGAAGTTTTTGACATAAAACCGAGGTCCAGAAGATTTTTTTACATTTTTCTAGAATTTTTGGAAGTTGGCTATAAAACAGGTTTTCCATGCACAATACTCAAAATAAAAAGGTTGGTTAGAAAAGAGGCCAACTAAGGGAAATTTTTCACTTGTTTTGTGATGAAAACATACTACATAATGTATCAATAACTCATATTTTTAGAGTGATGGTATGCCTTTGGAAATAATGTAAGATATGGGAAGAAAAATGTAATTTTGCATGTATTAAGAGGAAATATGAATAAAAGAAGGACCAAAGCCCAATTCATCAACTTTGAACACATGAAACACCATAACAAAACATCTGAAAATATGATTTTAAATCTTTAATGACATGTATTTGAAAAAAGAAATAGAATGAGAGATGGTGATGTGGCTTACTTGAGGCTTGGTTGGTTTGCTAACAAGACATTCCCTTTCTCTT